TTAAGGAACTCCAGGTGGATCTCATCCACCCCTGGTGCCTTGCCACCAAGGAGTTTTTTTTTTTTTGATCACCTCAGTGACCTTGGCCGCAGAGATTGGAGAGTCCAACCCAAAGTACCCAAACTCCTCTTTCTCACTAAAAAAACATGCCGGTGGGATTGAAGAGGTCTTCAAAGTACTCCACCCATTGATCCACAGCGTCCTGAGTCGAGGTCAGCAGCACACCGTCACCACTGTAAACGGCGCTATATAAAAGATTATCTTCTTCTTCTTCTTCTTCTTCTTCTTCAGTGTTGACAACACACTGCTTTTCCCTTCCTTAGATACCGGATGGTGGACCAGAGTCTTCTCGAAGCCGTATGGAAGTCGTACTCCATGATCTCAATGAATTCCTCCCATGCCAGGGTTTTTGCCTCTGCAAAAACCAAGCCGCATTCTGCTTGGACTGCCGGTACCCATCAGCTGACTTTGGAGTCCCACAGGCCAAAAAGACCCAATAGAACTCTTCCTTAAGCTTGACAGCATCCCTAACTGCCAGTGTCCACCAGCGGGTTCAGGGGTTGATGCCATGACACCGACACAAATGACCCTGCGGCTGCAGCTCTCCTTGGCCACCTCGAAAAATGAAGCATGGAACATGGTTTCACTCAGACTCAATGCTCCCCACTTCTCTTGGGATGTGTTCGAAGGAGGAGGAAATTGAAGCTCCTTCTGACAGGAGACTCCGCCAGATGTTCCCAGCAGACCCTCACAATATATTTAAGCTTGCCACATCTGACCAGCATCCTCCCCCACCATTGAAGCCAACTTGCCACCAAGTAGTGGTCAGTTGACAGCTTTACCCCTCTCCTGTCCCGGGAATCTGACATTGTGGAATGGTTGTCGTGTTTTTTGTAATCACAATTGTTACTCTTCCCATTTTTATGATGTTTTTAAACTTTTAAATTAATATTATTTTTAATTTTACTCATTCACTGCCATTGACGACAGAAATCGTCATTTTAAATCCAACCGTTCACTGACAATGACGACTAAAGTCACCATTTGCATTTTTCTACTGTGTGGGTGTCGGAACGAGCCCCTGCACTGTGAGAACAAACATCCCAGCTGTAAAGCCGATCTTCATCCACGTATGTTCCAGTTCATATTCTGTTTTACAACTACGAGAACCCCCAGAACCTCATCTGCTCCCTGATCACACACGCATTGCCAAGGTAACCAGACTGAATGACAGCGAAACCCTAATCTATACTTCCCTGTCTGTGTTGGGATGGACACACGTGACGCCATCATCCATCCTTTCTAGGGCTCTCCGATGGAAGGACGAAGTCGAGCTCTCTTTTCTAAATATCAGTCCGACGAGACGGAGAACGCAAGCTTGTGATTCGTAGGGACGCTGCTGTCAAGAACGTTGAGAGCCGAGGATATCTAGCGACAGTTTAAGGGTACCTTGCGGAAAATTTTTAAAAATATGAAAGTTTTATTGCCCCGTGACTGGAGGAGTGAAAATATATGCAGCAAGCATTTTATTCATGGACGGAAATTACGGGAGGTGGCAAGCACATAAAGAGGTTGAGGAGGATGAGAGACAAATCTGTCTGTGTTAAAAGTCTCTTTAAAAAAAGCACAATACAAACACACTATTTTGGACCGCATTATACATGACAGGATACCTCAGAACAGCACTGCGCCCTCTGTTGTCCTAGAATGGAATTGCTTTGCAACACTCCCCGGGAGACGGAGAAGTATGAGGGCAAATCGTCTCCATCCATCCATACGTGTGTCTCTCCCTCGTGGAGCTGATGAAGTATAAATTAGGCTTAAGAGGCTGCACTTAGACATTTCTAAATAAAACGAACACCATCCAGAACGACTCCTTAAATGCAATATGTAAATGACAACCAGTTAGCTACTCTACGATTTATCATATTAAAGTTTTTATTTATTCCTGATGTGAACATCTCCTTTTTCCCGACCGAGTTTATAACCTCTGCAACTTCTTTGGTTTTTGGCACTTTGGCAGCCAGTGTCTCGATCTCCCAAATTTTCTTTTTTTCGGGGCAGAACAAAGGCAATCCCCTCACGTGCTGAGGATGTAGCAAGACTAAATATGGTAAATTGAGGGTGTTTCTGTATGTGAATGACTGAGAACGGACATGAGCACCTGGGTACACACAGGTGGGATTGATCATCAAACGAGTGCGGAGGAACGTGCGAACGAGAGGCCACCTCATGTTTCATAAATCAGGATTTTGACCGTTTCTACGAATATCCTAAATTTCTTTCATAGAAACGAATTTAGGAATATTTCTATCAATGTTTGATGATTAAGGCCCCGGGTCTCACTGCCGTTGCTCACGTGAGCATTGAAGTCCCCCAGGAGAACGAGGGAGTCATCGGAAGCTGCTCTCTCCAACATCCCTCTAAGAACTCTAAAAATGGTGGGTATTCTGAGCGGTTGTTTGGTGCATAAGCACAAACCACAGTCAGGACCGGTTCCCCCACACGTAGGCAGAGGGAGGCTACCCACTTGTTCACCAGGGTAAACCCTACCCCTGCTTGGCACCTCTCTATTGGAGCAACTCCAGAGCTGTAGAAAGTCCAACCCGTCTTGAGAAAACTGGTTCTGAAGCCAGAGCCATGCGTTGAGCTGAATCCGACTATATCTCCTCGGAACATCTCAACCTCATCATACCACACTCTAGCTTCTAGTTTACCAGAGAGGTGACATTCCACATACCAAGAGCTAGCATTTGTAGCCGAGGATTAGACCACCAAGTTCCTCATCTTCGGCTACCACCTGACACAAAATGCACCCAATTCTTTTTGCCCCTCCCACGAGTGGTAAGCTCATGGTGAGGGGGACCCACGTCTCCTCTTCGGACTATGCTCGGCCGGGCTCCGTGGTCAAAAGACTGGCCACCAGGCTAAAATAAATTATAGATATCCTTGTAAATGTTTAGTTATGCAAACGGAGGACAGAATTTTAACTGGAATTTTCTTGAGATTATGTCTAGTTACCATTAAAAGTTGTAGAAACTAAATGGTGATGGTGGTCGGATGAACTGGTGGCACCTGTGCTCGGCAGCGTTGCTTCTGTCAGTGCGCCCCAGGGCAGCTGTGGCTACATCGTAGCGCATCACCACCAAGGTGTGAATGTTTGTGTTCTGACTGATTGTGAACCCACCTTGGGGGGTTCTAGGACTCTAGAAGATCCTATATCAAATACACGCCATTCACCAGTATATTAGCATCATCACAATTATTACTTTTATCTTGACAGAACAAATGTCATCATTACTTTTTTAGATAAAGAGCTTAACTCCAAATAACGTTTAGGAAATCATTCCTTAAATATCTCCTTTATCAGCTTCCATCCTGGAAAAGCAGTAATTCGTCTCATCAGATGTTGGTAGGCAGAAAGGCTTTAATGTGCAGTTCTACGTTTGTGTGTCAGCATTTTTTTAAAACAAGCACTTTAAGCCACAGATAAAGTCATAATAGATATAATAATCCAGGTGCAGTTAAACATTATTAGCAATAAAATGTGGGATTCTCACTTACTTTTCCCACATGAGTCATGGATCTTTTCACATGAGATCTCGGATTGAAACGCCTAACTGTGTTTAACGAGTCCAGCCGATGGACCGACAAGTACACTACACGTTGCATGTATTTCCTCCCATCAGGCACTAATTCTCCGCCCTGTCATCATGTCAGACGCTCCTCATGCATATGAGCTGTGTTATGGTGTACTGATTGAAAAGAGCATGTAATGTTTTTTGCACCTCTCTCTCTCTCACTCACTCGCACACACATACGCACAATAAGTTATATTTTATTCATGAAGTCAGGTTGATCACTGTCATTCCACTGTGATTTGCATATAAAGTGGCAGAGAAATGTAGAAAGCTCAGAATGACTCTGGTGACAAAATGCCCAAGCCAGAAATCATTATGAGTCCGTGTGTGAATGAATGGCATCTCATTTGGGGTGACAAATTATGGCAACTTAAGCTTAAAAAATACGGTTAGTTTATTTCTTTTTTTCTGTTGAGCAAGATTGAACAAAAGTTGTCTGACACAAAAGAAACACACTTCCCTGAGACGAGTGAGTCATATCCACGTATAACCGGTACGTGTTATACCTCATAAACACACTCATAACTGTACAATTTCCTCCATAACTGAACATATCAGAGTGCAGCAGGTACATCTGTGTGTGTGTGTGTGTGTGTGTGGGGGGGGGGGGGGGGGGGGGTTACGCCAACAAACAAGTAGCATCACAACAACTCACACACACACCGCAGCTGTGGGTCTCTGGTGACCAAAACAACCTTCTGCATGTCTACATCTTCCTCTGGGATATTTTCTCTTAACGCTTCACATAAAACATAACAGCCTTTTCGAAGGCAGAGGGGGCTGTCCTTTTAGTTGCTGCGCTTTTTCAGGGGAAATCTGATAGTGTGAAGTTACAACTTCACTCTCTTAGAGCAGTTTGAAGTACACCGCCTTGTTGCCTGGCCTGAATACCGTATTTAGTAGCAGAGAAAAGATTTGTTTCTATTTGATTCTTGTTGCACTCCAAGTGTCGTTTTACAACATAATCACAATATTTTACTTTAAGTTAATAAAGTGTGTATTAATTATAAATCAGAGTCTGTAACAGACCAAAACTGTGTTTTTTAACAGTTCTGGGTTTTTTCGTTCATATTTTTGTATTTGAAGATAGCAAATATATTAAACATCGTCTTTATTCTGTTTGCCGCTGAGGCTGGTGGGTCTTTAGGTGGAGATGATGGTTTATTCTCACTAATGTAATACAAGCAGCTAAACATGTCTCTGTTTAATTACACTCGTGTTTTAGGGCTTTACGCTTGTCTGCTGCTATCTCTGGTTACAGAAAACACATTTCAGTTTCTCATTAAAGAAATCCATTTTAAAATGTTTTGGGTTATCTTCTGAGCATGTTCACCTTTCCTGTCTCATCCATTCTCTTAGGAGTTTGAGCAGTTTAACAAGCGGCTGAGTGATGTTTCTAAGCAAGTACGCATCCCTCTCCCTGTGTCCAACGTCCTGTGGGAACACTGCATCCGCCTGGCCAACCGGACTCTGGTTGAGGGGTAAGAAAGCCACAGAAAGCCTCCTCAGCTCAAGGCTGGTGTGCAGTTTTTGTGATGAATCTGTTACCAGAATGTTTATTTTACAGTATAAATAAAGCACAGCCCTTTTCAGTAAATAAGTGCAAAAACATTTTTTACATAATCGGTATGATTGTATGTTTAAAGGTGCAATATGACATGCAAATGACAAAATGTAAGAAGGACATCCTGTGGTCAAGTGTGGGTACTGCAGTCCATAATTCTAAAGAATTAAATCTCATTCTCACTGCCATTCCGTGAGTTTTACAGCTGTTGGCAGTTATGGATCAGCACCAGAAGATTCTAGATGACAAGCGAAGATGAGTCACACACAGGGGTGGACTTGCCTATCTGGCATTCTGGCACTGTCCTGGTGGGCCGCTTAGCCAAGTGGGCTGCTTGCCCAGCTTGGGCCGACACTACTCCACAGTTGGTGATCTGCGGAACATTAGCTACATGGTAACCCGAAGCTAACAGCGTTTTCCCAGGCGTTTTTAGCTAGAAAAACGCGGTAAATCGATGACGTAGGAGTTGTTTTACCACGTTAGCATTTAGCTAATGTCTTGCTGATCTCCGCCCGTGGAGAATGAAGGCCAGGGCTCCCAGTCGCAGCGGTCTGGCCCTGCCTGTAATTTAACATTCCCAGTCCATATTAGATCGCTTCTGGGTTGCTCCTTTTTCCTGGCTTTGGTTCCTTAACTCGTTCACTGCCAATGACGACTCAAGTCGTCATTTGCATTTTTTTACTGTTTGAGCATCGGAACGAGCCCCCGCGCTGAGAGAACAAACATCTCAGCCCTGAAGCCAATCTTCATCCGCATACGTCACAGATCACATGATCAGGAAGCAGACCATCCATGTGTTTGGAGATCATTTTGGGACGTTTCTGTAAAAAAAAAAGTGATGCGCGATCCGGAAAAGCGTCTGCCGATCACAATTCGACAACGGATTATGAAAGAACGGATAACGCTTGAAACACGCGGCTTCTTCCTGATGTAAGAGGTGAGTCTCCTCTTTGTTTTGGTTGTTTTGGCATTGACATCATGCTAGCGCGCAACGTTCTGTGACTCTTAAAAAAACAGTAAAAACGGTGAGAAACGCTGGCAGCGAAGGCCGTTAGCGATCAGGAAACGGCTGGCAGTGAAAGAGTTAAACAACTCTAGAGCTTTTTTTTCTGCTGGTGATGAATTACAAATGCCCATGCTGCAGCCGGAGACTCGAAAACCACAGGCTCACAGAATGTACACTGCAATTACGTCTCTCTTTTGTTTGTTTATTTTTAATGGAGTAAAACTGACAACCCCCACTCCCCCCATCATCCCTACAGCTGGCCCAGAATAAAATCAGTTTCAATGTAACCTTCGTTCTAACGTGATCGAGACATTACGCAGTTTGGAGATTATTTCATAGTAAAATTCTTACATATTTCTCTTTTAACTTGCAGATTATGTGTGTTGTTGTTTAGATAATCTCTGCACAATCTAAAGTACAGACACACTACTGGGCAGCTAGACCATAAAGCTGCTCAACCCAATAATAAATCTTAAAAGTGTTGAAGAGATGAAAAATAAAAAAAACATGAAACCGGTTATTGTAAAAAGGCTTAATAAAATACATTTGAATGATCAGTAGAACATAAAGGTGAAACAATTAGAGCCGAGGGCTTTAGATGGACATATGGATGCTCGGCCACTGAAGTAGCTAATGAAGAAAAGCTAGAATGGGGCAGGAGCTGTCAGGGGTCTCTGCAGCGGTTTGAGTCAGCTGACGGTTAAGGGAACTATTTGGACACTAGGATAAAACAGTATTACACTAATCTTGCAGGTTACAAAAGTGGGTTTTCAGAGTCATTTCCATACAAATGTCCCAGACCTTTAGGATTTTAGAAGTATGAAATAGGAACCCTTAATAGTGTGTCAATCTCTGAGCTAAAAGGTATGTCTTTGTCTAAAATGACTCTCAATACCAAAGTCAAGTGATGAAAAATATTGATTTGATTAAGAGATTCTGTTTTAGGGTCAGAAACCATCTCCTCCATCTACCTTGTTCCAAATGTAAACTGTTGCTGATCCTAATGTCCTTCAGACAGCTTACAGTTCACTTAGCTGGTGGGAATCTTCTAACTTAATGCTTAAACACTTATCTGCACCGCCTCTTTACTCACAAACGAGGAGCTGGACTGAGCAGGTTACACTCCTGCTTAGACTCTATCAAAACCTGGATGGCTGGGAGCTTTCTTCAGCTGAATGAAGATAAGACTGAGATCCTCATCTGTGCCCCAGACAAGCTGGTTCCCAAAGTCAGAGACTCTCTTGGTCAGCTTGCTTCTCACACCAAACCTTCTGTCAGGAATCTTGGCGTGACCTTTGACCCAGCTCTCACCTTGGATTCTCATGTCAGTTCTCTTGTTCGCTCTTCCTTCTTCCATCTCAGGAACATTGCTAAGCTGAGTCCCATTCTGTCCCGCTCTGAACTTGAGACAGTTATCCACACCTTCATCTCCTCACACTTAGACTACTGCAACTCTCTTTTCACGTGTCTGAGTAGAACCTCCCTGAACCGTCTACAGGTGGTTCAGAATGCCTGTGCTCGGCTTCTGACCAAGTCCTCCAAACACACCCACATCACCCCGCTTCTCCTCCAGCTTCATTGGCTGCCAGTCAACTTCAGGGTTCATTTCAAGATCCTGGTTCTGGTCTATAGGGCCTTACATGGACAAGCACCATCTTACATTGGTGATCTTCTTTGTCCCTACACCTCCAGCAGGTCCCTGAGGTCCAGTGACCAAAGCCTACTGGTTGTGCAGCACCAGGCTAAAGACCAAAGGTGACAAATGATTTGCTGCTGTGGCCCCCAGACTCTGGAACTCTCTCCCCCTGAGCCTGAGATTGGTGGACTCAGTGGTCTCCTTTAAAAAGCAGCTGAAGACTCACTTGTTCAAGCTGGCTTTTATATGACCTTCTTCACCACTCTCTCTTTATTCTGCTCTCCCCACCTATTCCACCTTCCTCAGGATCCACTGATTTCCCTCTTTCCTATTCACTCTCTCTCTTTCTTAACATTTTTTCTTTTAAATCCCAATTGCCTATTTTTGCTCATTTTAAATACATTTTTAAACATTTTCGAAATGCTTTTTTAAATATTTTCACATTTGTTTTATTTTTGTGAAGCGCCTCGTGATTTTTATCTTGAGAGGCACTATAGAAATGATATTTTCTTCTTCTTCTTCTTCTTCTTCTTCTTCTTCTTCTTCTACTTCTTTTTCTTCAGGTTTTAGGAAATCCATGCACAAGACAGAAACGAATACAGGTGGCAAATCCTGGAGTTTCACACATTTAATAGGAAGAAGAAAGAAACATTCCAGGACATGGATCATGGTGGTGTGATTGAAGCTACAAAGGGCACAGAAACACCAACCAAATGCGTTTGTGTGGCCTAAGTGTTGTAGAGAGGAGGACAAACAATGGCTGTTATGCATAGAAGAAGCGTGGAAGGCTTTCCTTTATCCACGGAGAAAGGCTGACATGTTTACCTCCTTGGACGTGCACCACACACTTCTCCTCTCCTTGTGTTAGAGGACTTTTTAACCCACTCGCCATTATGACTGTGTGGGCCGCTCAGTTTTAGGTGGCTGCTGCAGCCTACACTTCTACACTTCACCGGCTTCTCTCTGTACACTCCAGCATAAACAGACGGACACACAAACTCCTCCCAAACCTTCTGCTTAGCCAAGATAGAACGGTCATGCTTGTTTGTTTGTGCTCCGACTCCCTGAGTCTCTTATTTAATGTCTCCGTCACGAGCCTGTCTCTCCTGTGAGACACAGCAGTGTCTCTGTTAGCATTCTGAGCTGAAGCTCAAACACTCTGGGACAGGGCTGTCAAGTCCACATGGGGGGGGGGGGGGGGGGTGGTGGTGGGTGGGGGGGGGGGGGGGGGGGGGGCTGTCAAGTCCACATGAGAGAGAGAGGGAGGATGTCAGCAAGATATGAAGAAAGAGAGAAGGTGAAACAAAAAAGAAACAGAATGGAGAGCAGTGTGTGTGTGTGTGTGTGTGTGTGTGTGTGTGTGTGTGTGTGTGTGTGTGTGTGTGTGTGTGTGTGTGTGTGTGTGTGTGTGTGTGTGTGTGTGTGTGTGTGTGTGTGTGTGTGTGAGTTGTCTCTGACCTGCTAGTGGACAACAGTTGCTGCCAGTACCCCCCACCCCCCCCGCCCCCCCCCCCCCCACACACACACACACACACACACGTGTTTAGAAAGGAGTCCTGAGGACCCAGTTTGCTTTACTGGCCTCATGCATGTATCAGAAACAGAAGAATATAGGAGTAACATCAGGGCTGTTTTACTTTTTACAATCCCGTCCTTTTCCCTTCAGACTTCCCTGTTGCCTCTGTTCCAAGGCAATTCCCTGCCAGGACAACAGAGGGCCTAGTGCTTCTCCTGCCACCACTGAAGCTACATCTCTGGTCCATGTTGTGTATTAGTGTTGAAATGTTAAACTAAAAATCATGCTGGCTTGTGCTCGCCATAGTTTTCCATAGACAGTTGAGCGTGATCTCTCTCTCTCATGTGGACAGACATGCGTGTCTCCATAACCCTGCAGACCGAGAAGTATAAACTAGGCTTGAAGGATTCCTATTCCTGGGCTGCCTGTGATCACTTTGGGACCTTGGGGGGGGGGCTCATGGATTGTACTGTTTACTGGGAAGAGTAAGGACAATACAAGCTTTCATCTTAGTCTGCAGAAACACTAAAAAGTCCCTAGATGTGTTGCTAGAAGATAGAAAATGTTACTGGAGGGTTACTGATAAATACAACCAGAGAGTTTACAGCTACTGGATTTTGATTCTCTCTAAAATAACGTGCATGTTGTAAAAGTCCGTAAACCAGATTATCTATGCAAAGATCCAAAAGTGTACCAAATGTGATCTTCTACATAAACATGTCTCTTGGAAAAAACTTGAGGTAAGTTTTGATAGCATGTTGGGAAGGCGCATCAGACCAGATTTGGAGACGTGACAGCTCCTCCGTTGGACCATTACCGGGGTTGTCATGATGAAAACTATGCAAACGCTCCAGGCACACATGTGTGACCGATCACAGTTATGAAGAATCATGAATATTTATGGATATTTAGGGCGGCTCTAATCTCCCTTCGCCTCTGTGCTGTAGCTACTCTAATGTGAAGAAATGCAGCAATGAGGGCCGGGCCTTGATGCAGCTGGATTTTCAACAGTTCCTGATGAAGCTGGAGAAACTGACAGACCTGAGACCGATCCCTGACAAGGAGTTTGTGGAGACCTACATCAAGGCCTACTACCTGACTGAGAACGACATGGAGCAGTTTATCAAAAACCACAGGGTGAGGCCACGCAGCACGCCCGTTACCCAACAGTTCTAGTTTTTTGGGTTTTTCCAACACATTCTCACACCCGAGGCGTCAAATTATGATGCGTGTGACCAAGCCTCAATATATGACGATTCGGGATGCCCCAGCGTGTCAGGAGACGACGATCAGGGACAAACAGCTGACGCGGCGTCCCAGAGCGTCAGTGTCCGACGCCGGTGGTAAGACGGACATTAGAACTACTTCATCGTCCCCTCACCCCAATCCTAACCTTAAGGTCACAGTTTATGGACCTTACAGTTAGGATTGGGGTGAGGGGAAGGTTAAAGAGTCGAATAACGTCCGTGTGACAGCGCGCGTCAAACAGTGACGCCAGCAGAGCCACGTGACCCAGCGTGTCCCTGATCGTCATCTCCTGACGCGCTGGGGCGTCCCGAATCGTCATATGTTGAGGCTTAGCCGCACTCGTCATATTTTGACGCCTTTGGTGTGAGAATGTGTTGGTTTTTCCACGTCTGAGGCTTACCAGTGACGAATTTTAATGCTGGTGTTTTAATTCTTGCAGGAGTACTCCATGAAGCAGCTAGCCAACTTGGTAAATGTTTGTCTGGGCTCACACATAAACAAGAAGGCACGTCAGAAGCTTCTAGCAGCTATCGATGACATCGACAGGCCCAAGAGATAGACTCGTGAAGGGGTCAGAGGTCCCGCTGAGAGCTCACCATCAAATGTCAGCAATCTAATCGGATGTGTTCAACAGGCTGGACAGTGGCGGAGACGCGGTTAAAAGTCCAAAACTCACTTAGCTGGTGGCTAACGACGTGTTTGTTTTGTCCTTTTATGGTAAAAACTGCTGTTAGTTAAATGTGACAAACTAAGGATGCTGCAGTTCTCTGCTCAGAAGGACCCTGATACAAAAACCAAGAATTAAACCGTTCTGAAGCAATGACCGCACTTCAGATGAGTCTGATTTCATAATGGTATTGAGGTTTGAGAGTTACGGCTCGGTGTTGTTGTTGTTTACTGTGATGATTCATTAGCTCATCTCATACTGTACGCCTGCTGTACATTAGTTCGCTTCAGGCTGTTGGCGGTGCCTGGCTGAATTCTCTGCTTCTGCGTTTTCTTTATTTTGTCCACAAACATGATAAATCTAATATAAAGCTGATGATTCTGAAATTAATATAAATTACAGTAGTTAGCGTGAATTTGTCTGGATTATACTTGCAGTTGCTTGTTTGCTGTCTCATATCTGAGGAGGGAATTGTGTTTTCATCCAGGAGTTTGTTTTTTCTAGAGGAGATGCATCCCACCGCAGATTCAATGTGATTGTCTCTGTTTTCTGCTTTGAATTTATGGAGGAATCTAAAATGTTAGTAGCAGAAGAGTGATCCATCAGGTTAAAGCCACTTCTGAAGTCTCTAGGTCAAGTTTACTAACTTCCTCCAAACCGGTAAAAAAACAACAACACTCCTTCGAAGATGTTTCATTCTTAATTCTGCTCAAGAGGACAGTTTTAGATTTCTAGTTAAAAACTTCATAATCAGAACACTCCACATGTGAAATTACAGATTAGATTTTCCTTTGGAAATAACAGAAAATATTCAATATTCTTTTTTAATTCTCGTGAATGTAATCAGCTTGTTCCAGTTGGTGAAATTTTACAGATGCTTCTGGTTAAAATTTAAAACAAATGCTTGGAATGGTTAAGAGAGGAATGTTTAGGCAACTCAGAAAATGGGATTAAAGGAAATTAGTGCAAATTTAATCCCAGTTTATTTGTAGTTTTACACATAAATTTCTGCATCCAAATGTGCAGAGGAGCCAATTCACTAATTGACATTTATAAAGATGAGCCGTTTGTAGTTGAACAATTTTTCAAAGTAGTTTTCAAATGAGCTAAAATCACTCAACAGTTTCAAACTTAATTGTTATAGTGAGAGAGCCTTTTAACTAAACAGCGTCAAACCACTATTTAACACTGATGAACGCCTGCTGGACTCATCTGAACTCCGCAGTTACACACATTAGTGGCTTTAACGTATAAATGTTTAGTAAAAATGAACTAAAATGTTTTCCCTCCCAAATCGTCCCGATGTCAGGCTAACCAGACCAGCGGGGAGCGCCACTAAATAACCTGAGTTCTGTTGCAGCTGAGACTTGTTGTAAAGTGTGAATATTTATTTCTCGCCTTGTTTTTGTTTGTTTTTCTATAAGACCAGTGCTGGTAGTGTCACGTTTCACTCATCCTGAATCAGATACGACATTTAAACTGATCACATGTTGACCGTCCCGTGCTCTGTAGTGAAAACGTGTAACGAGTGCAGGAAACAATAAACACACTAGCTATGGGTGTTTGGCTCTTTTTGACCGCAGCGGCAGCTTTAGTGGATCAGCTGATGCGCTTCATCGGCACCTACGAGCTGCTGTCCATGCTAACATTTCACCTGGGCTAATTAAAGTGGTTTCCTGTGTGGCTGCTTTTAGCAGACTCCGTATAAACATGAGCTCAGTATTTCACACTTTCATGTTGTTCTAGCTGTCACATTTTCCTTTAAGTAAGTACATTCGCTGGTTGAACGGGTAAAGTCTTTCACGCCTCAGAAACGTCTGCAGTCGTTCTCGTTTCTGACGTTCTGTTGGTGTCACTTGAGCCAACGCCCCGCGACATAAACATAAAGTCTGTTTTCTTTTCTTTTTCCCCAGAACATTCAGCTCTGAGGTGAAAAGGGGCATTTTGATATTCCTGCTCTGTCAGAAACATGCTGGTTTCTCCTGGTCCTCCTGACTATTCAGGTGTTAAATATCAGTGGTGGATGGGTTTTATAATATGATCATTATACATTCATCTATAACCTTTGGAGTGGGATCAAGATGGCCACCACTAGTCTACCTGCTTAGACACAGCAATGGCTAGAACTCAGGTTTTGCAGATGTTGCGCTAAATCCCATGTGTTTGGAGCTGAGAGTTGTTATTCACAGAACATTCTCACTGTGCTAACATATCTCACAACATCTTCATGAATAGAATACAAGCTTGAAATAAAAATGTTCCCTAGATATATTTCATCCATCCATTTTCCCATCCATTTTTGGGTATCTCAAGGCTATGGATGTTGTAGGGCTGTCATGGTTGACACGTCTCTGCAACATTGCATGGTCATCGGGGGCAGTTCCTAGGGAGTGGCAGACCGGGGTGGTGGTCCCCATCTTTAAGAAGGGTGACCTGAGGGTGTGTTCCAACTATAGGGGGATCACACTCCTCAGCCTCCCTGGAAAGGTCTACTCCAAGGTACTGGAGAGGAGGGTCCGATCGATAGTTGAATCTCAGATAGAGGAGGAGCAATGTGGTTTTCGTCCTAGCCGTGGAACTGTGGACCAGCTCTTTACCCTTGCAAGGGTGATGGAGGGGGCATGGGAGTTTGCCCAACCAATCCACATGTGCTTTGTGGATTTGGAGAGGGCTTATGACCGTGTCCCCAGGGGCACCCTGTGGGGGACGCTCCAGGAGTATGGGGTGGGTGGCTTTCTGTTAAGGGCCATTCAGTCCCTTTACCAGAGGAGCGTGAGTTTTGTCCGCATAGCCGGTAGTAAGTCGGACCTGTTCCCAGTGAGGGTTGGACTCCGCCAGGGCTGCCCTTTGTCACCGGTTCTGTTCATCACTTTTATGGACAGAATTTCTAGACGCAGCCGTGGTGTGGAGTGTGTCGAGTTTGGTGGCAGGAGAATCTCGTCTCTGCTTTTTGCGGATGATGTGGTCCTCCTAGCTTCATCCAGCTCTGACCTTCAGCTCTTGCTGGGTAGGTTCGCGGCCGAGTGTGAAGCGGCTGGGATGAGGATCAGCACCTCCAAATCTGAGACCATGGTTCTCGACCGGAAAAGGGTGGCTTGCCACCTCCGGGTCGGGGGAGAGGTCCTACCTCAAGTGGAGGAGTTTAAGTATCTCGGGGTCTTGTTCACGAGTGAGGGTAGGAGGGATCGGGAGATCGACAGGCGGATTGGTTCGGCGTCTGCAGTGATGCGGACGCTGAGCCGATCTGTCGTGGGGAAGAGGGAGCTGAGCCAGAAAGCCAGGCTCTCGATTTACCGGTCGATCTACGTCCCAATCCTCACCTATGGTCATGAGCTTTGGGTAATGACCGAAAGAACGAGATCGCGGATACAAGCGGCCGAAATGAGTTTCCTCCGTAGGGTGGCCGGGCTCAGCCTTAGAGATAGGGTGAGGAGCTCGGACATTCGGGAGGGACTCGGAGTAGAACCGCTGCTCCTCCGGATCGAAAGGAGCCAGTTGAGGTGGTTTGGGCATCTGGTCAGGATGCCTCCTGGACGCCTCCCCGGGGAGGTGTTTCGGGCATGTCCTGCCGGCAGAAGGCCCCCGGGTCGACCCAGGACACGTTGGAGAGGTTACATCTCCAATCTGGTCCGGGAACGCCTTGGGGTCCTGCCGGAGGAGCTGGTGGACAAGGCCGGGGAGAGGACGGCCTGGAGCTCCCTAGTTGGGATGCTGCCCCCGCGACCCGGACCCGGATAAGCGGAGGAAGACGAAGACGACGAAGACATTTTCCCACCCTTATCCAGGGTCAGGTCACGGGGGCTGCAGTCTTAGCAGAGAGGCCCAGACCACGCTCTCCTGCTCTACTGAGCTGTGACGTTATTCCTCTGTCCTCTCCATCGCTGAAACAGAGGTCTGCAGAAACTGCTGAGCAGCATTTGATTTAACTAATTGGAGGGTGAAGCTTAAGGGAAGGCATGAGCTGGTGAAAATTGGTCACCGTGGTTGGGGTGCAGGTGGACAACGACGCTTTTTAACAATCCTCTTAAATTTGCATTACAAGCACACATCAGGACAGGTGTCACTCAGAGAAGAATAATCCAGAAACCCAGAGCTTTCATCCATGAAGACTTTTTAATCTCAGCGTCTCACTCTGTAAGAGCAGAAAATGGAAAAGCGTAGCCATTGGGGGACTGATGGCGGTTTAGAGACGAACCCTCTTTGATAATGACAGCTGTGTGTTCACAGAGCTGTTGATTAAAGCAGAAGCACAGGATTGGTCCTGTCACCAACAAACCTGCAGGGGAAGCAGCACTTCTGTTTCCTAAAACACAAAAATCCTCAGGAGAAAGTGTTCATGCTGCTTGTTTTCTCACTGCTCAACCTGATTACATTTATCCTGTAAAATAGAGCCTATTTGTTTTCAATAAAATCATTTTGTTCATTTTTCAAACAGCATGAAGGATGATGATTTATGCTGCTTTCACAGAAACATCATTAATAACTCCATTTAGACTTGTTGTGATGCCCTTTTCTGTGGCGTTTTCTCATCTCTCTAACTGGCGTTAAAAGTTTGCTACACAAACTTAAACAACGGTCCCCTGAGAACCTTGATCCACCGGTTGCAGCTAATTTGTTGCTTGACTAACTGAGCCTGGATGGTAACAAACAAACATGATCAGGAACGTAAATCCTCTCCAGAAACACAAAAGCTTTGTTCTCTCAAAGTTTGGTGCCGGTTTAGCTTGGTTCTCTCCTTTGGGTGCAGGTGTGGCATTGCCTCCGCCTGCATCGTGGACGTTGATCGAGTGCTAGGCTGGGGGTTCGTGGCCTGTTTCCCCCTGGTGTCCCTCTTTCCTCCAGCCACTAGCTTGTCTCTGCCCCCTGGGGCCCCCCAGACACCCTCTGGCTCTACTAGGGCCTAGGTTGTTGCAGGGCAGCCCCTCCCTCACCTTATGCAACATATTCACAGCCACTTGTAGTGGTAAAACCATCAACACACACACACACACACTGTCTTCTGTGATGTTATTTATTTAATAATGATTACTGTGATTTTGTCCTGCTGGTGTCCCCCCCCATTGTTTGCCACTAACTGTCCATTCTATCACCATAGCTGTTGCCATCTATCACACCTCAAACACGATAAACTCCTCCAATCAATCAATCGATCAATCAAGTTGTATTTATATAGCGCTTTCCACCACCCTCAAAGGGTGGACAAGAAAAGTAACAAAGAAAATTAGCTGCAAGCCATGCCTCAACTTCACTTACACAAGTCTCAAGGTTTAAAAAAGAAGCTCCATGCAGCAGAAGTGTCTCACACCCTTCCTGTTGCAGAGGTAAACTGCTCAGGCACGACACCCAGACCTCATGTTCTCTCTGCTGCCAGAGGACAGGTAGACATAATAATTCTGACCTAAACCTAGTGAAGTCACGGTTTTTAGTTTAAAAGAACATTATTTCTGTGTTTCCTCTAAATGCATCCATCCATTATTTTAAAGAGGAACTAGGCAGTTTTGACTTGCCTTTAGCACCCCCTAGTGGCTGTCTCCTTGCTCATCTTTTTAAACATCTTAATCCAACAGCTGAAATATCTCCTAGTCTTCATTAGTGTCTGCAGGAGCGATTCATCACTAAATCAAACAAATCAGCTGTGTTCATGATCTAAAACATGCAGGAAACGTGCTGGAAGTTGAGTGCAGCACCAGGTATGTCAGCTCCATTGTTTTTAAATCCTAGCAGAGCGGCCGGCCACTCTGAAGCTGCAAGTGGAACGTTCTGGCCACAGGGGCGTTAGGGGCTGGGTGGCATTTTATTAACCCTGTAAAAAGGTCATTTTAGCACACACTGGCTCAAAAAAAAACATTTAAAAATATGAAAAAGTTGCAAAGTATTTCTTTAACCGCCTCATCCTCACTGGAGACACCGTGAGCTGATGTCTATCTCCGTCGTCATTGGACGAGAGACGGGGACAGCTCCCCATCAAAGGGACACGCTCAACCAGTCACACACAGTTACCCCACCATGAATTTGGTCTGTGGGAGAAAACCAGAGCTGGAGAAATCCTACCCATGCATGCAGAGGACATGCTGACTCTGTGCCGAAAGGCTGTGAAAGCAAGATTTGAACCTGCAACCTTCTTACTGCAAGGCGTCAAGGCTACCTTAAGGGTGCTGCCTTCTGTTGTACAGAACAGTTTAGAACTCAGATTATTTTAGCGTTGTTCTGATATCCAGAACTCTGGAGGCTGGTATTCATTTGCTCGTGTCCAGATGTGCACCTGAGCATATATTCAGTCAGCAGAATAGATCACCTTATCTAACACACTCAGAAAGCTGCACCTTTTCTTCTGGAGAAGTGGGGAGTCAAGCCTTTCATCTCATTCACCAACAGCTTACAAGCGGCACGGTCAATATTTCTCTCTCTCATGAATGTTTATTGATTTTTCTCCTCTGGATGTCTGGTGTGAGCCACCGGTTTTATATGGTCTCAGACAAAGGGACAGCACATCCCTGACATTTCCCCGAGTAACAAAGGATGGCTTTTTCTCGGATGTAAAAAAAAAAAAGTTCTTTA